GGAGAGGACCACAGCTTTCCTCCTCCATCAGGCTTTCCAAAACAAAGACGACATCATCTCCTACCTCCAGGGAAGAAAAGGTTATCCGCATAGGGAGACCTCTGCCCAGCGGCTACTGGAAAACCACATCCAGACCATTACGAGCATCGTTAAAAAGCTCAGCCAGGACATTGAGGTAATACATGCTGAGGAGCATTTCCCTGCTCTGGCCCATGGTCCATTCAGCACTAATATTGACTTCAGGAGCAGAAAAGTACTCAATATGACTGCTACATTTTCGTTAAATTCTGATTTTTCTTGTGTAGTGCCACTTGCAGGTACTCGTGAAAACAGAAGGGAGGGGACTAGGGAAATGAAAGTTAAAAAAAAAAAAAGGTAAGGAAAATTAAATAAAAAGCAGATTAAAGAGTTTTGGTGGTGTTTTAATTCAAAGGTTCAGATTCTATTTCCTTGCAGTTTTGTTGGAGTGCAGGAGATATTGAATTCAAGGGAAATATGGAGCAAGCTGTATTTTCAACTAACGTATAACAGCAAGACTCAAGTTCAAGTTTACTTCTTAGTTTTCCTGATGCAGATGTTCTACTACTTTATATAAACTTCTGCATGCAAACATGTGCACGTGGCTCTCTCTTGCCCAGGGGTGGTCAGCTCAGGGATGGGAGCGCTGCCAGGAGCCTGGGGAACTAGCTGTAGAAGGGGAATATTGATTTCCCTCGATAAACAGGAGGCTGCCGCTTTCCATGCTAATGAATGAGCATCTCGTGCTGCTTCTGACAGCGAGGGAGAGGTGGTCCTGTTCTGTGCCTCTGCCTTCGCTGACTTGTGGCATCAGACTTGCTTTGCCAAATGTGCTGCTGAAAATACCCTTGAATTGTGCGGTACATTCAACCCTTTGAGGAAATGGTTTTCTGATGCAGAAATAGGAATACCCGGTATATTCAGTATTTCAGTTATCAACACTCTGTGCGCAGGGGTGGGGCAGGATTATTCAGGAATAACTGCATAAATGACAGATTTGAGTTACATTTTACTGCAGAGTTATGGCGGCTTTCTCCGCTCACCTGTGCCCCACATTCGACGGATGTTGAAGCATCTCCTTTTGCCGGAGAAGTGGGACAGTGGTGCCACGCATGGTCTCAGTGCTGGCGGTGCTGCACCTTCCCTGCTTGCAGCCAACTGGGAAATGTTTGCCCTGACCCTGTTTGCAGGGGCATGGCTGCAGGGGAAGAGGTTCGGATGCAGCGTCCAGAGGGACGAGCTCAGGGCACCGTCCCTGTGCAGCCTGGGGTGGTGGGGTGAGCCTGTGTGACCCATGCGATGGGCAAACCCATCTGCAACAACTTCGCCAAAATATAAGTATTTGCAGTTTAAATTTTCCTTGATATTTGTTCTTTCATATTTTTCTTTTGTAATTCACTCAGTGGGGACACTCCAAATAAAATGCCAGTAAAAGGCACTCTATGTTTGCACCAATAGGGTATTTGCATAAAAAGCCTAAAAGCTGCGCTTTCAGCAGGTGAAGTGTTGTATAGTGCTGGATTACACTGAAATGTCGGCCCCAGGCCTCTCCTTTCAATCTGAGAAGTAAAATGAGGAGATTTTAGAAATAATTTTCCTCCTCCACTCCATATCTGTAAAAGGTCACAGTAACTGCACAAGAGCCTCCTAAAATTAATGCTTGTGACATATTCAGATACCATCAGGACAAGCCACTTCAGAAGAGCCTGCAGGGTGGCTACTCCTTCCATCTTTTGATAAGACTTTTAATACTGTGCAATAAATCAGACATCAGGCCACATACTGAACCATAAGGGTAAACAAAGACATTTTAGAGCTGCTTATACTGACCCTCACCCGTGTTCAGGGCTGGGTGGGTGTATCTGTAATGTGCTTTAACAGCACATCCATGCCGTCACTGTGGCCAGAACCTGCCGCGCACAGGACCGCGTGTGTTCAGGACATCTTTTTATACGTGCCGAGTGCGGTGCAGTAGCTTGGACGTAAGCATTTGTGATTTGCAGCGTGGGCACACTGAGCTCGGAGCAGAGATCCTGCACCCACCTCTGCTCTGCCTTGTGCACCCTGCGAAGCCTCGCTGCAAAGCCCTCAGGGTGCTGCAAAACACTGGGCTTAGCTATTGCCTCCCTCCTACAAACACCTGCTATCCCCTAGGTGAAAGGAGACTGACATAAAAAATTGTGCGTTACTTATTATGGGCTGCACTGCACTGCAGGTGTTTGAGGGGGACGATAAAATTAATTTCACATTTTTTGCATTTCCTTATTTTTCCGTGCTAGACTTTTTGACAGAGCACTTTTTTTTTTTTTTTAAAGGGAAAAATTGGCATATTATTTATGCAGATAGAGATTTTTTTTTAAAGAAAAAATAATATGCTGTTACTTTCTCCAAGAAAGAAAAACAAGCTTTTAGACCTGCTTCCATAAATAGTGCTTTGAACCCTATTTTGAAATGAAAAAAAAAACCCAAAGCATAAAACTGAAAGTCCATTAATGGTCTTAAATTGACAGGTTTTGGAGAGGCAAATAAGAATAAGGGATGGTGCCACAGTAGAAACTAATTTTGCTGTTCAAAGTCTGGACCATAAATACATCCAGGGTCTTGGAGACCTGCGTGGAAGAGTGGCAAGGTAAGGAATGCGTAATGGCCCTCATTTTCATCTCTGCTAGTCGATTTGTGCAGACCAGATTCAGAGTGGGCATGAATGTACTTTGCACTAATTTTATATCTCCATTTTAGTGCCAGATCTGTGCTTCGCATTCTCCACGTTACAAAAATTATCAAGCCAGGAAAAAATAACTATATTTTCCTGTCTCATTCTTCATCAAACATGTACCATTTTAGAGAATTTTTTTTTCTTCTCCAGTCTGGCTAGACTTCAGCTGAAGTGGTTATTTCCTCCTACTTGAACTCTCCTGTTGTTTCAATAAAATCTTTACTTCCCCTCTTGGAAAGTAGAGCTTGTGAGCAAACTTGATTTCTTCTTTTGGTGAGACCATAAGTTTTCAGTGGTACAAGTAATTGCATGTACGTAGCATAGATGGACTTCTGCGGGGTGCTTAGTAACGCAAAGAAAAAGTGACACTGTGCTATGTAATATCAAGAGAGCAGAGGGATTAAGAACTGTCAGAACTGATATATTGGAAAAAGTAATAATTAAGGAAGAGACCTCCCTGAACTGGCATGTTTCTAATGTGTGGGTTTTTCTCCAGAGGCCAGTCATGTGCTTTTCACATAAAACACTGCTGTTGACATTTATGGGTAACACAAGAATTGGTCAAGTGAGGAAAAGGTGGTAATTGAGAATAACCAGGAATATTGGCGAATATTGGCAATGTGGGCTGATTGAGGGAAAAAAACTATTTTAGAAACCCAGCGAGAGACTATTCGACTACTGAGTGCCCCCTGAAAAGTCTGGGGAATACAGCAGGTAAATAACTTGCTGTGAGCTCTTACAATGATGCAGCATCAGAAATGCCAGGAGTATGGCTTTAGACAAGAGAAGGAGAGGACCAGTAAGCAGGGAGTTTATTTTAGCTCTGTGTGGCACAGAGACTGGTGCCAGAATGTACTGAGCACAGAGCCCCCTTTCTGAAATTAAAAACTTGATATGGTGTAAAGAAGAGCCAGGGATGTGATGGTGGGATGAGGAAAATTTCTGGCTGAGAGAAGCATACATCTATGTATAGTTTATAGAAAAAAATAAATCCAGAGATGTCTTCATTTCCATGTATAACTACCAGGAGAGAAAGGGAAAAAACCATAGGTTACTGAAGGACTCCAGACTACTGCAGAGAGACCCAAGAATCTGAAACAAGAGACTGAAGCCAATGCGTTCAAAGTTGGCAGGGAAAAAAGATGTTTGTTTTTTTTTTTAACCTTGTGGCTGATTAACCTTGGAACAAAGTAGGAGGTGATCCTGCAAGAGCGTCCTGATGCTTTCCAGTTCAGGTTGGCAGACTCTCTAGGCGATATGCTTTTAGTGAAGCCGTAACATTCAACAGGTGGAGCATCTTGCTCCTCTTTTCCCAGTGTTTTCTTCGGTGTGATGCTTACCTTCATCAGCTGCACCAGAGCTTGCTCCCATCTTTTGTGCTGGAGCATTGGTCTGCAGCAAAAGACAGCAAAAGAACTTGGGGAAAACAGGAAAACAGGGTAATTGTGGGGAAACAAGTGACCAGTCCACTTCTACTTGTGTAAAGAAAAAGAAAAAAAAAAAACCACAACCAGAAGAAACAAGAGATTGAGCACTCACAGAGATTCACAGCAATATGTTTTATGAGGTCCCTCCTCCTCTTCCTTCCTTGCCCCTTCTTTGGGTGTGCTGGTTGCCCTTTCCCATGGGTAGAAGAGAGGATCCCAAAACACACATATCCAGTTACATATTAAAAAACTATCATGAGGGGACCAAAGTCATCATCTTATGATGCTGGAAACTAAGCTCTTAGACCTCATTTATTTTTAAGGAGAGAAAAAAGAAAATGGCAGGTTTTCAGCTTCACCCAAACGTACTGGTATTGCAGAGCCAGAGCTGATGTTTTAGTGGCATGTCAGCAGCAATACTATAATGCAGTTTTAGGTGAATGATTGCCATTAAGCAGAAGCGTAGTATGGTTTTATGTGATTCGTGAATCATCAACACTTTCTTGTTTTTCTTGCTGCTGAAGTTCCCCTCTGGAAATGCCAAGCCTTAACTGTGTACCTGCCCCCAGCGTCGTGGTTGAGGAGTGAGCCAGAACTGACAGAGGACTACATTACAGTGATGATTAAAATTTTCATTTTTCACATTTCTTTGGTCTTGAGTTCTGGGATTTAAAATTTCAATGTATATTAAAGAGAGCCCAGAGTGGCTGGAGACAAATGCACATCTTCATTTGATTTACATTTATTGAATTAATAGAAATCATCCAAATGCAAACGTGCAGTGACAGCTTTCCTCTTGATTTGTAGCCTAACCTTAATCCAAGACTATCTGGGATGAAATGAACCTTAAATGGAGCCACCGCTCTTTCTCACAGCAGATGATTCATCCTCCTGTATTCTGCCGTGTGTAAAGGATTAATGTGGATTAGCTCTTGTGATTCGAATTGTGTCTATTCTTTTACTCTATCTTTCCCTGAAAAATAGATGGAGACCTCTTGTTGACTACTGAGGTGGTTGTCCATCAATTCTTGGACCTTCTGACTACATTTCTACAAGGTGTAAACATTTATGTGTCAAATAGCAGTGAACTTTTAAAAAAAAAAACCAAACCCCAGCCTTCAGCATTTTAGCTGTAGTGGCATTCCCATCAAATTAACTATATATTTTATTTCTATCCTAACTCTTAATACGAATTCCTCTGGGCATGGGAATATGTATTACAGTAATAAGAATTAGGTAATCAACCGTAAAAAAAGCCACGCTTCTGATAAATATTAATTAAATCTTTTCAGCCTCACCAACCAAAGAGTAACTGAATGCACAAATGAATAAACAATGCCCTTTACACAGATGGCTACCTTTTACTTATTTTTCTTGTGAACTTTTTTGTTGCTCAGAAAAGTCCAACGTAACACCAGACAATCAAAAGCCCTGGTGTATACCTCTGAAGTTACTCCATCCTTCTAGAAAATGCAATACTTCTCCAAGTACAGCAGGTAGCATATAGGAGGTAATTAAATGCTTTGACAGAACCATCAGAGGGGTTTATTTCTGTATATTTTTGAATTTATGTGCAAATCTCATAGGGGTATGCTTTCTGTACCATTCCCAGTCCACCTGCATTGCTGCAGCCTCTGTTTTGTATGTCTGGAAAACCATGACCTCGGTGTAGGCTGTCGAATGTCTTCTAGATGAAATATCAAATTAGAGCAAGATTTAAGCAAGTCCCAAGTATACCTGTTCTCTTCAGGACTCAACCTGCCAAACGGCAATAATGCATTTAACTAATTTGCACGCAATAATGATTTTATGTGTAGGAAGCAGGCCCAGAGATTTCAGGCACATCAGCAGTGCTGAGGGTCTTTGCAAAGCTCGCCACGTCTGCAGATCCCCAGGCACATCCCTGACCTGTCAGGCCACACAGTAGTGCAGATGTAGTTAAGTTAATCCCACGCCGCAAGCCTAGTTCTTGGGCTTTTTGGATGCTAACATCAAATCCTCTATTTTTAAGTATTATCTGTATAGAATATTCAGGTTTCTTTCTCTTGCAACTGAAGTTATGTCCTCTTACTGCTACAGACCCAATAATCCTCTTCTTTCCCACACTGTGCACTTCTTGCAAAGCTTTGTAATTGTTGCCTTGGAGTGGGATTTTTCCCAAGGGAGCGGTGAACCCCGATCCTCTGGTCTCTGCTGAGAAGCTGGTCTACGTGCGGTGCAGTCACCCATCAGCCTCGCACCCCAGCTGCAGCCTCGTGTACCTCAACATCCCCACCCAGCGCCGCGGGCGCGAGGAGCCCCTGGCCCCTGCTAGCTGTCCCCTGGTACCCCCCCCGCATCCTCCCCTCGCCGCCTCCCGGATTCTTGTCTGGGTTTGCAGCGGGAACAGCTGTGACGGCAGCCAGCCCTGGAACGGCCCCCTCCCTCGCCAGGTCCATGTTCACCTTCTCAGCTATTTTGTGGTTGTTTTTCCAAATCAACGGTTATTTTTGATCAAAGTTCTGGCTTTTGTACAAAGCCTCCGTTATATGCGGTAACTTTTTTTTTTTTTTAAATATTTCCTTGATCTACACGCTCTGTAGGTGTATCACAATATCTAAGCATCATCGGGAGATGACAAAAAGCTGGTCTATTTAAACTGTCAAAATTTCTCTGTAGATCCTTTATCTGTCAACAGTACCAGCTTTATTTGGTGGCAGTGCTTTGGAGGATAATTTCTCTGGCATTTTAAAACTTAGCTGTTTTCCTCTCTCGACTTCTCTTCCATCATTTATACTAAATTGTGCAGTACTTTGTGGCCTTAAGGTATTTTTTTCCACACTCTTGTTTTAGGTATTACCTGCACTGGGGCAGGCAGTTACTCCTGGGGGGGGTACAACGTGCAGGAGGGGTGCAGAAGGGGAAGTGTATGTGTAACGTTACACATATAATTTCATATACACGGAAAAAAGTCTTCTTGCTTATGTTAAAAAAGTGTTTTTTATATATAGATGTACATATATACTATACATACACAATGTATGTATGCATATATACACATAGTAAAGAGAGGGGCTGAAACAGTCATTCATTCTACCTGGAAAGGATAGCTGGTTGAACGCGATTCCATCCCTGGGCTACTCAATTAATGCCACCGCTCTCACCTCATTCATTTGTCCATTTTAAACGTGACGAGGTATTTTGGTGAATGCCACTGAAAGAGTTTAAATAGCAAATGACAATTGCTCCTTAGAAAACACCAAGTTTTTTTGCTCTAAAAGTGATCTTCCCCAACATCTGCGTTCAGCTGGCGGAGGCCACGGGCTGGGGCGGTTGTGGCAGCAGCGTACTGTATCTTCTGGTAGGCATCAAAAGCTGGGCGCACCCGGGGTGCAGATTAGCCTCTCGATTTACATTTCAGATTTAATTTAACTTACTGAGACTGGGTAGTGGTAAATCAGGGGGGGTCTCAGTCTGCAGGGTGAGCTGTGGGCATCACGAAGGGGTTTGTGGTACGAGGAGCCCACGGGCATCGCTGCTGCAGGCGAGGGCATCGCCTCTGACTGCCTCCCGCGGCCTCGCCGGCACCTCCAGCAGCTCTGGTAATGGGCAGTAGTGGCTGAAAGCAGGATGGGACCCGGTTGCTGCAACGGGGTGTCTCTGCCTATTTGCTGCTCGCCGGGGTGGTCCCAGGGAGCTGGATTTGATCTGGCGGGGCGGCAGCGCGTGGAGACCAGCATCTGCCCTCAGCCACCCTCCAGCATCCCCCTGCAGCCGCTCTCATCTCTGGTTTGACCGCAGATGCGAGGCAAGCATTGCGAAGCTCTCGGGAGACATCAGTATTATCAGGCATGAGGCCCAGAAGACTGATAAAGAGATTTATGGCCTTCACTCTGCCCTCAAAAATTGTGTAAGCGATTTTGAGAAGAAGGTGAGTAGAGAAGCCAACAGTGAAATACTTGGTAAGTGGTGACTATGCATATCTATCTATCTATCTATCTATCTATCTATCTATCTATCTATACCTATCTTCCTCTCCAAATTGCTGACCAATATTAGCGAGTGATAGAGTATTTATACAACCTGTCGGGCTTTTTAGTTTTAAAAAAAAACAAACAGTTTTCCATGATATGGTGGAATGGTAGGGCCATTTATAGTAGATGAAAGGTAAAAATAGATAATAAAAATATTCTAGGATTTGGAGATCCTCAGATCAGAAATGACCCCTTACTGTTTCTCAGTATAATTTATATTTTA